CAGGAATTTCCCCCCAGCAGGCTGAGAAACATATACAGGTTGGACCTGCCTGGTCTGGCACCCTCGGAACCTGACTGAACTCCTCTGGTCTGGAAAAATCCCTCATCAGGGACCATTTTTGATTCCCCTGCTGCTCCCCCCACTGGGCGGCCTGGCTCCCCTTCCAGCACAACTGAACCCTTCACCGTCTCCTGCCCTCCCCAGCACAGCTGAGATGTGCACTAGTTCCCACCTCACTTCCTGCAGCCCAGCAGAGCCACACGCTGGCTCCCACCCGCCCCCCAGCACAGCTGAGCTGAACGTCTCACTTTCCAGCTCCCGCTCTCCCAAACTCCCACAGAGCCACATATCACCGTCCCACCCCCACACAGAACCGGGCTCCTGGACCCTCAATCCCCCCAGCCCACCAGCACACTCTGATCCTGGAACATCCCTGGTCGTGCCGGATCAGAGCAGGAATTTCCCCCCAGCAGGCTGAGAAACATATACAGGTTGGACCTGCCTGGTCTGGCACCCTCGGAACCTGACTGAACTCCTCTGGTCTGGAAAAATCCCTCATCAGGGACCATTTTTGATTCCCCTGCTGCTCCCCCCACTGGGCGGCCTGGCTCCCCTTCCAGCACAACTGAACCCTTCACCGTCTCCTGCCCTCCCCAGCACAGCTGAGATGTGCACTAGTTCCCACCTCACTTCCTGCAGCCCAGCAGAGCCACACGCTGGCTCCCACCCGCCCCCCAGCACAGCTGAGCTGAACGTCTCACTTTCCAGCTCCCACTCTCCCCAACTACCGTAGAGCCACATATCACCGCCCCACCCCCAAATAGAACCGGGCTCCTGGACCCTCAATCCCCCCAGCACACCAGCACACTCTGATCCTGGAACATCCCTGGTCGTGCCGGATCAGAGAGTCCCAGATTTTAGAGGTGCAATCTGCACTGACCTTTCTAATTATCTCAGCCTGCAATAATAATCAGCACCAGCTTACCGTTCATTTCAAGGAGTCTCTTCAGTTCACTTATTAGCGGATACTTTCCTTCATTGCAGAAAGTGCCCCGGAAATCATCCAGATCAATGGCCCATACCATGGCACCGCCGAAATTTTTCTCCTTCAAGTATTTCACCTGCCCAACAAAAAGCCCACAACTATCGGTCACATTTCCACAGCTGCTTAAGAATTCCTTTAGGAATTTCAGTACAGCCTGAAATAAGTAACTGGGTACACAGCCATGGCGCAGTGATCAGCGATGCAGCAGAGCACCCCAGCTCAGAAAGAAATGCTCTGGGAAACATCCCCATCACATTCATAGTGGTTTAAAGCCATGTGAATGATGCTGCAAATATATCCCTTTGCTAAGAGACTCTGAAATACACAGCATTGAAGGTAAGCGCTTTCCGAGAGCAGGAGCAGAATGTCAGTAAAGCTCACTAGAAAATGTTAAAGATCTTACCTTGTGTTTAAAGCTGCACTTGTTGTCATATCCCACCCATTCATTCCCCTTCACGGCATAGGGGACTTTCTGGTCATCAATCCATCGCACCTCAGCTGTCGTTAGGAATGTGCAGATCTGCCAAAACAGCATGGTGGGAACACAAAATGAACCTCATTCAGGGGCCAGAGGGTAAGTCCACGGGCTAGATATTGTCCCCGTTGTAGTCTGTAATGTTAAGTGGCCAGCCAAGAGTTAATCTGGTGGTGTAGAGTCGGTGTACCCCTCCTGACCATCGCCTTGCGGGCTGTCAGTCGCACAGCTGAGCAGACAGGATGCGGCCACATCACAGCTGTACCCCAATCTCCCAGAACAGCCTTCTCAGCTCTGCAGCAGCAGGAACAGCTTAGACATTAATTTCTAACAGGGACTGAACTGGCTTTAGGAATAGGGAGAAGGTGCTATGGTAGAACCAACTTTGCCCCACCTCCTATTTGGGATCTGAGGTGAATGGCGTTTTTCCAGAGCTAAAGATCTAGCCTGCTAACACTCCTGCACAGCAACTCCGGGATAAGTGGAAGGGAACCCATCCAGAGTACAGAAAGAAAGAGATACTTAGACAAGAGACAGAAACTCAGCTACAAGCAAGAGTAAAAGCAAAACGTGTCACCTAGAATTCATAAAAGTACATCCCATAAGACACTAACTATTGGCCAGAGACTCCGCTTATACAAATGGGCATAGATCCACTGAAATCGACACCTCGGAGTCTCATTTACACTAAGGCCTCTCTACCTCGCCAGCAGTATAAAGGGGTCCTGGTCTCTTTGCCCTTCCAGTGTGATGTAAAGGCATCTTAGGATAAGAATTGGGGCCAATGGAACTAGCTCCATTTACACCACCTCAGGATCTGGGCCACAAAAATCTCATTTATGGAAGTTTCTCACCTCATAATAAGCCCAGAAACCAGCTTCCCGGGTGTAAGGGCCTGAAGACCCAGCCCCAGATGCTGGGGCACCGACAGATGTGTCACTGCCAGTAAGTCGAAAGGTCCGCCCGTAGGTGGGGAATCCCATCACGAGCTTCTCAGCGGGGACGCCGTTACTATGCCAGTACTCCATGGCGAATTTCTGCAGAAATCCAAACAGAAAACCCGTTTGCCACCAGGGCCCGTTTCTCCCAGCACCCTCTTGGGAAAATCAAAAGGGAGTCTGCTGCCTGTCCCCTTACACAGTTGAAGTACTTGAAGTCCCCCTGGTCAGCGGAGCCTGCATAGAGTGGGCTGTTGTGCCCCGTGAAGCGCTCCCAACCTCCGTGGAAGTCGTACGTCATCACGCTGATGAAATCCAGAACCCTGGTTTCGATCAAATAAAACAACAGAAAAGAAACAAGCAGGTTAGTAAAGTGATTTCCTGAAGGACTAAATGAGTCAGCAGGCAGTACACCGTCCTCCCATGTTGGCCTGAAGGATGAACATGATTTAGGGGGCTTGAATCTCCATTGTCCCGCACCTTATCCTGCTGTTTATGCCCACACAGAGGGCGTGTAACTGCCACCCTTGTGATCTGATCGTGTTTTGCACCCACCTGTTTTGCACAGGTACTAATGATGACACTAGTCAACAGAGAACCAGACCAAGAGCATAGTAAGCACAAAGTGGAACCAGTCCACTCACTTTCCTATCTCAGCAATTTCATATCCAGCATCAACAGTTCTTATGCCAGCAGATACCGCTGCAGTAATTAAAAGTCTGGGGCGTCCAGTGCTTGCAGCCTCAGCTTTAAAGGCTTCCAGCATTTCCTGAAAACAGAAATGAGGGCATTGATCATTAGCAATTTTGGTTAAAAAGTCATTCATGTCCAGCTATGAATAGTGATCTAGAAACATCCCAGACCCTTCCTATAAATTCCTAATGATCTTCCCAATGTTCCTTCCACGGCTGATTGTCCCCAAACCCTTACAAAGGTGGAAAAGGATCTTACATCAGGTCTAGCACCATATTTGTACAATAGTTGCATTCAAGGAAGTAAAAGGGAGCTAAAACCATGCAGTGCCAATGTAAGCACTGCTGATACACAACTCGGTGGTGCTAATCTGCCTCACTCCAGCTGACATCTATTCACATGAACCAAGATGGTGAAGCGGTGTTTGTCCTCGGGGGGGCTGCCTCCAGAGCCCGGGAATTCAAAATCCAGATCGATCCCATCAAACCCAAACTTACGGAGGTACACGATCACCGAGTCAGTAAAAGTTTTACGATTGGCTTGTGTGGAAACCATCTCAGTGAATCTGGAAAAAGATCATTCTTAGGCAATGTGGCCCATTGGGTTGTTTTTGTTTTTTGAGGTTTTGGTGTGTTGTTTTGTTTTGTTTTCTTTATACCAACACATGCAACAGCACACTTGATCAGTTTCCCTTTCATAAATATAATTGTCCTAATGCATAACAGTATAATTCAAACCCACTTCCATTAATCACCTCCATTTTTGTCACTAGCAATATATAGCTGAGAATCCACTATTAATTAGTTATCTCCACCAAACTTGAGAGTATGAAGACCTTGTATTTATCGTTTGTCAGCCCACATCTTTATCCTCCTCTGTTAACACCATGCAACTATCTTCACTCCAATATAAAAAAACAAGACAGACCAAGGGTATTAAGGGAATTTGAGACACAGAGGGGGAACTGATGGCCCCAAGATCACGCAGCAGGTCAGTGGTGAAGTTCAGAAAAGACCCCAAATGTCCTGGGTCCCAGGCTAGTGTTCGGTCTACCCTTCCTCTTCATGCAGTAAGAAATTACATGCTCTTATAGACAAAGCACCGGACTGGGGTTCAGTGGACCTGGGTTCTCTTCCTGGCTCTGCCATTCCAATGTTGTGTGACTGCCACTGTCTTGGTTAACAATCAACACAACTGTTAAAGGGGTGTAGAGTGCTCTGCCTTGCCATCCCCACCATCTTAAAAAGCAAAGGGAAAAGTTCTTACTTCTGGATAGCAAAGTTTCCACCTCCAACAGCCAAGAGTGTGACAAGGTTCCCATTTCTAGAAAGCAGAAAAGAGTTGGAGAGTATGAGATTAAATGAACAAAATATATAACGATAAAATCAATTGATTTAAAAATATGGTTGTGAGTTTTTAAACAAACTCCTCTACTCACACCTCCTTCTCAATGGGGTCCTGATTGCTGTTTAAATTATAAATTGAGACCCTGTCTATCCTAGGGAACTCTGTGGACAGCTGGTGAACTAGCAAGGTTATAATATGAAAGATATCAGAGAAGACTAATTTTTTTAGTGGCAGAGAAAGTGATTTGTACTCAGACTGTGTAAAACTTTGGATTTGGTTTGTTTTTACCAACAGCGAGTTTATCAAAATGCTCCCTTTAAAAAGGACTTTACAAACCCATTTCCCAAACCACATTTTTGAGTAACCCAAAAGTGACTGAAACTAAAAACTAAGGACAGACACAATTTTGGCATCCTGACTATTTCTAAGAATAAAAAATAAGCAAGAAAAAAAAAACCTTTCAGCACAAGGAAGCAAAAAGGGGAACAAGCCTCCACGTTATTCGTTTATAGGTCACATTGAAATGAACTCATTTTTAAAATCCTCTACACATTAGATGTTACTGACTTCTGCTTCAGGTCATTAAGCTGTTGGTAGAGGGTTTCATCATTCCATTCGACCTTGGTGATCTTATTGTTCTCCAACCCAGCAAAAGCATAGATCAAATGGGTACACAGGAAAGGGTCCACATTTTCTGGAGTGAACTTGGCTGCTTCTGGCCGGTACTGAGACCAGTTAGTAAAGTAGCACACACGTTTGTACGCTGAGCCTGGGAAAAAATAAAATAAAAATAAAATGTGATGGCACTAGTGTCCATTAGTACTCCAAGAATTTGGTACACTGTCAAGGGACACACTCCTCCATGATATTAGTGGAGAAGGTGTGGGGTCCGGGATGGAGGTTGGGTGCAGAAGGGAACTTGGAGTAAGGAATTGGGATCCTGGCAGGGAGATTGGATGAAAGAGGAGGTTGTGACAGGAGGCTGGGGTGTAAGAGGGGATGCAGGATCGGGAAAGGCGTTGTGACCTGGAGGAACGGTGTAAGAGGGGGGTGCAGAGTCCAGGAAGGGGCTGTGACCTGGGCCAGGAGTGCAAGATGGGTGCAGAGTTTTGGGTTGTGACCAGGGGTATGGGTTTGGGGTGCAAGGTCTGGGAGGGATTTGTGACTTGAAGGCGGGGTGTAGGAAGGGGTACAAGGTCTGGGAAGAGTAGGGGTGCAGGAGTAAGGGTGCAGAGGGTTTGATTGGGGTAGGGACACAGAGAGTTAAGGGGTAAGGGCCGGGCTGGGGTGGCAGAAGCAGGCTCTGGCCGGGAGGCACTCCCAGCCAGCAGCCCAAGTGGTTTCTCAGCCAGGGCCCCTCCTTTCCACACCCCTGCACTGGCTGCAGAAGTCAAGTATAGCTGACTCTGAATGCTGTGAGCTAGTAGAAGGAAGGGGGACTTCCCATGCTGCTTGTGTTGTAAACAGGCAGCTCCCATTGGCTGGGCTGTAAAGCATCTTAACCTCCCACCCCACCAGCTCTTTTAGTGTTCAGAGACCTCCTCTGAGCGCAGGGTGGGGCCAGGGCAGGCTGGGACCCTGGCGGAGGCTCCCATGGGCCTGATCTGGTGGCTTGGGAGCTGTATTTTCCTTGCCCCCGGTGCATACTGCGTTAGCACTGATGTCTCAGGGCTGCAAACTTCAAATCCCTACTTCGGGTGGAGGCAGATTATGGGTATGTCTACACTACCCCCCTAGTTTGAACTAGGGGGGGTAATGTAGTCATACGGAGTTGCAAATGAAGCCTGGGATTTGAATTTCCCGGGCTTCATTTGCAGAAAGCCGGCCGGCGCCATTTTTAAATGCCAGCTAGTTCGGACCCCGTGCCGCGCGGCTACATGAGGCATGGACTAGCTAGTTAGGATTAGGCTTCCTAATCCGAACTAACTGTACACCTCTAATCCGAACTAGCTAGTCCATGCCGCGTGTAGCCGCGCGGCACGGGGTCCGAACTAGCCGGCATTTAAAAATGGTGCCGGCCGGCTTTATGCAAATGAAGCCCGGGAAATTCAAATCCCAGGCTTCATTTGCAACTCCGTACGACTACATTACCCCCCCTAGTTCGAACTAGGGGGGTAGTGTAGACATACCCTATGAAAGTTATTTAAGTGCCTATTTTCAGCACCCAGCTCCCCAGAGGCAGACCCCTCTCTACAGCTTTAGGCACTGGCGTAAATACTTTAAAAATCGGGCTCAGCATTCCTTGGCAACAAGGCACCAAACTATAAAAGGAGCCAATGTTACGTACGGAACAATTGACATGGAAAAGACACTTGTTTCCTACCCAGACAAAATGACTCCTGTTCCTGTCCCTATTACTGGAAACTCATCTTTTGCCAACCCCAAAGTCCAAGCCAGATCTTAGGCTTGCCCTGGTGTAAATCAGGAGTAGCTCCTTCCAAGGCAAAGGAATTACACCAGTGAGAGAGGAGACTCATATCAGCCATAGAGAAAATTCTCATGCAGAATTCTTGGCCAAATGCTCGTGGATTTCAGCAGCAGTTTTGCCTGTGTTAGGAATGGGGAGAAACTGAACAGGGACCTGGGGATTTGACCCTATTTATCAGTCCCCAGACATGCAGGCAATGCAGACAAACAGGGAATGAGACATTCTTACCCAGCTGCAACTGCAGAAGAATGGCCACACCTGCAAACCAAATGAAAAGGCATTAGAAAAAAGTCAGTCTGGTACTTTGTACACTTTGGACCCACCCCTTTGGGGTGAAATCCATTCCTGCACAGAGGGGCCAGCACCATGTAAAGCCCCATTCGTGCCCTCAAAGTGCTGCAAAGGCCTTCTGCACACGGGTGAATCTCATGAGGTAGCCAAAATCCATTAGAGCAAAGTCTGTGCTAAAACATGCCCATGTGGGATGCTGCTGTTTCAGATATTATTGAGACCAGACGGGGCCATTGGAACATCTAGTCTGACCTCCTGCATAATGCAATTTTAGAAAAGAATCTGTTTGTGTCTCATCTGGATCTTTCAATTTCTGGGCCAGGATTCCCCACCATAATGCTCAAAGTATCATTGCGACGGGATCAGATTCACTTACCGGCCCAGAGCAGCATCTTCCCCATCTCAGCTGGAGATTTTGGTTTCAGGAATTATCTACAAATGGGAGAGGGAGGGAAAGACTTGTGTCGGCAGCATGGGAGAAACAAAGGCAGTTGCAGGACAGAAAGGTTTCCAGGCAGCTGCTGGGCTACCATGCAGCTCTTCTCAAGACAAGTCTAGTTGTATTCCATAGATCTCCGCTGTCTGCCTTACACAACAGTTCCCAGTACTGCCCCCGCTGTTGGAACAGAGCTGGATATGACAATGGAGTACAATTTTAGAACGTGGTCCTTGTGTTGACAAGACAAAAACAGGGAAGAACCAATATTAGTGCTCTGTTAACACTGATTTAAAACATGTTGGAATAAGTGCAGCATCTATGCACAAATAGGGTATGTCTAGACTACATGGCTCTGTCGCCAGAGCCATGTAGATTAGTTTACTAGACATACCCAAATGAAGCGGCGATTTAAATAAACCATACATTTTAAGTGACCTTTCCAGATTTCCTAGATCCCCAAGTTATGGTCCAACTCACAAAACAAACCTAAAATGAAATGAATCCTTCTTTGATATGCCGTGCATCCAGCCACTGACCTGGCAGATTTCTGCAGCGTGATCCGAGACAGCTGGCTGCTTCTTTCTGCTACCTACCTCTGCCTATTATATATACAAGAAAGTTATCCACTCCCATACAAATATACATACTGAGTTTGCATTTTTAACTCCCCACTTCCTGAATGTTTCCCAGTGCTCAGTCAACTATTCTGAGGAAATAACCGTAACAGAATTGCACCACCAAAAGGCAACTGGTAAAACTTGTTCCAAAATAGCCACCAGCTTAAAGAGCAGCAGTTCCCATCAGTATTATCCCATGTACCAGGCCAGTCAATAGCCCACACATTCCCCGGTGACCTGGGCCAGAGTAAAGATCAGCTCTGACTTGAAGCTTTTTACCTGAGATAAGAACAGCTGTTTAGGGTAAGAATTTGCATGTAACAAATTTCTTAATGGATTAGAACTAGTTGGTGTCTTTTTTTAACTTAGTAACTTTCTTTGATCTGTCTGTTTTCACTTGCAATCACTTTCTATACTTAATAAAAACACTTTTGTTTGTTATCAAGTGCAGTGTAAATAATTGTTACCTGGGAGGGAGCAGCCACTGGGCATCTCTCTCTTTCATCGATAAAAGGGGGGCTGACCTCATGACCTTTCTGTGTGTAAAACTTTTACACAAGGTAAGACAGATTTATTTGGGGTTTTGGTCCTCTTTGGGGTTTGTGTTCGTGGTTGCTGAGCTCTTATAACTCCATTAGAGGAGTGAGGTTCTGGAACAGCCTTCCAAGGGATCTATCTGGCTTCATGATTAAACTAGATGGGTTTATGAAGGGGATGGTTTGATGAGATAACATGAACTTGGTAACTAATTGACCATTCATTATCAGTGGTAAATAGGCCAATGGAGGGATGATAGGAGTTACTATAGAGAACTTTCTGAGTGTCTGGCTGGTGAGTCTTGCCCACATGCTCAGGGTTTAGCTGATCTCCATATTTGGGGTCGGGAAGGAATTTTCCTCCAGGGTAGATTGGCAGAGGCCCTGGAGGTTTTTTGCCTTCCTCTGTAGCATGGGGTACAGATCACAGCTAGAGGATTCTCTGCATCTTGGGGTCTTCAAAGTATTTGAAGGCTTCAATATCTGAGATATAGGTGAGAGGATTATTCTAGGAGGGGTGGGTGAGATTCTGTGGCCTGCACTGTGCAGGGGGTCAGACTAGATGATCATAATGGTCCCTTCTGACCTTAAAGTCTATGAGTTTATCTTCCCTGCCTGGTCAAACTCCAACCTGGGGCGCCTAATGGATCCTCATTTACACTCATGCAATCTGACTGACATCTTGAGCCAGATCCTTCGCTGGTGTAAACTGACTGTTGTTGTGAAGGCCACGACCTTAACAGGGTTCAAAAAAAAGCTAGATAAATTCATGGAGGATAGGTCCATCAGTGGCTAGCTATTAGCTAGGATCGGCTGGGATGATGTCCCTCGCCTCTGTTTGTCAGAAGCTGGGAATGGGAGACAGGGAAGGAATCACGTGATGATTCCCTGTTCTGTTCATTCCCTCTGGGGGCACCTGGCATTGGCCACTGTGGGCAGAGAGGACACTGGTCTGGATGGACTTTCAATCTGACCCAGGATGGCCATTCTTATGACTTCACTCCATGGAAGTCAATAGAGCTGTGCCCATTTACACCGGCATAGGATCTGTCCCAAATCTTTACTGAATAGGTTTCTATAGTAGGTCATTATGAATCCCTTTGATTTTTCCACTTTACCGCTCTCCGAGAGAACGTGGAGTAAAACAAATAATTCTTCTTCTGAGCTTTCTCCTCAGCCGCTGACACGGAAACTGTCCGGAGAGGCAAGATACCCAACGCCTACTCTCTGTGGCAGCACTGGATGCACAAGTGGATATAAACCACCCAGCCAATGAACCCGCCATTCTTGAAACTCATGTCAAGGGATGGCCTGGCTGCAGTGGTCAGATCCAGCTTACGAGAGAAGAAAAGCCATGGGAGATCTCCAAAGAAAATACTGAGATTGTGTTTAAGTCAATGGACCAGACCCTAAGCTGGTGTAAAATGGCTCTTTTGAATTGAAGCAGCATTCTACCATCTGAAGACTTGCACCGTTAGGGTTACATCTGATTTTTTTGAATTGAAGCAGCATTACACTAATTTCTAAATTTGCACTGTTCGGATCTAATTTTTTGCAGCCCCAGCTCAACCCTCAGTTACATCCATGACACAATAGCCCCATCAGCCTGTGATTTCCCTCTGTCTCGTTAGAAAACTGGAACAGCAAGAGCAACAGGCTAAATGAGGTGCTGTTCCTTCAGAGGCTGGTATTTTACAGACAGCCGCCCAAAGAGAGCAGATGCTAATGCAATAAACCTGCAGAGGCAGGGACGTCTCCTGGTGACTATGTTCCAGGAAATGGCTTGAAAAGCCGAGATAGCAGTTGTTAAGATGACTTATTGTTTAGGCTCTTTGTGTGAATTAAAAATACCCTAAACTAGAGTCTGGGGCATATGGACACAGCATCAAAACTGAATAGAATAGAATAGAGTTTATCACCTTCTTTCTGAAGTACCTCCCTTCAGAAAGGGCCAGATTATTTGCTCCTTTACACCAGTTTTACCACTGTGTCACTCCCACTAACCTTGGTATTAATATTTTACCTACTGAAGCTGCTCTTGGATTTACACCAGCGGCAGTGAGAGGAGAATTAGGACCATGCTGTGTTTTTGGTGTCTGTCAGGTAGCTCATCTTGGAATGAAAGGTAAATGTAGGCTTCCAGCTATCCACTTTAATTCAATAGCATTAGCTATGATGATTCATCTTCCCAACATATATTCTATTATGACTTAAGGCCACAGGAGCCTTCATTATCTTGATGTCTTCTGATGCTGAAAGGGCAGCCTGAGATAATTTCAGAGCCATTAGGAGTAACAGATTGTTGTCCACTGTGCCAGTGGGGGCAAGGTTGTGCTATGTAACAATCACAGCTATTCATTTCCCACATTTCTCCAAGCAGGGCAGACCACTGCATGAAGATGTCTTGTGTAGCCTTCACCAGCAGGAGAGGAAAGTAAATCCCAGTTTAGACCTGGTCTACACTAGACCAGGCAGGCAGGCTTAAGGCACGTTATCCAGCAACACAGTGTCTATACTGTAGGACGCGGACGGGAGCATATGCTTCCGGCGGCATCCCTTACTCCTCCCAGATCGAGGAGTGCCAGATGCTGGTGGGGGCTGTCCTCAGTGTTCAATTTGAGGATCTACACTAGACCTGCTAAATTGACTGCTAAAAGATTGACCTCTGAAGAGTCGATCTTCTCTGTAGTGTAGACATGCCCATAAAGACTTGTTTGACTCAGGGGCTAGAGCCAAGAACTGGGTGTTTTCAGCTCTGGCACTAATTTGCTACATGTTGCCTTGCAAACCACTTCCACTCTCTGTGCACCAGATTCTCCATCTATAAATTGGGTATAAGGCTATTTCCTATGAGACAGAGGGAAGAAAATTGTCCCATGTGAAACAACTATTAATTATTATTATTACATTAGAAATGATATGAGCAGAGATAGAGAACACTGGGTGTTTTCAGCTCTGGCACTAATTTGCTACATGTTGCCTTGCAAACCACTTCCACTCTCTGTGCACCAGATTCTCCATCTATAAATTGGGTATAAGGCTATTTCCTATGAGACAGAGGGAAGAAAATTGTCCCATGTGAAACAACTATTAATTATTATTATTACATTAGAAATGATATGAGCAGAGATAGAGAACAAAACAAAGCCCAACACGGAAAGACTCCCACCCCCACCCCCAGCCAGCCAGAGCCTGTGTCAAGTATCTGACCTAGGCAGTTTTGTGAAGCATTGGCAGAGAAGACACGCTAGAACACAGAGAATATTATTTATTATGTTCAAAGCAGGGTCACCAATCACACAGCAGGCAACACACCAATTAATGCCTCATTCCAACCACTTGGCTTTCTTGGATGAGGCACGAGGAATGTTGCCAGCGGGATGATTCGAGTTACGATATATTACTCATCGGTGTTTGTCCTGAGCAAGGGACGGGGCTAAAATTTTGGATAGTTACAGCACTTGCAGCTGTCATCATAGACAAGGCCTGCTGCACAGGTAAAATGGTAAGTCTGGCCTCCAGCACACATGTAGTATTTTGTAATGTCTTGGGGATCGGCATGGATGCCATCTTGTTTGCCAGCACAAAAGTCACCATCTCCTCCAGGCGTAGGGGGAAGAACTGGAGTGGTAGTTGGAGGGTCAACTGTAGGGATATCTACAGGGCAATCTAGCACGATTGGACCTAAAATGAAGAATTAGCAATACATTTAGATACACGACTGCACTACAGCTATACGTTCTCTTGCATGCTTGTCTGTGCTTCTGACCCCAACACTTCATGACTAGTAACAACTGGTATCATGTTCCGAATCTGGGACCGCTTGGTCTAAGCATGAACCTGTATAACTCGAGCTAAAGGACTGGACCCCACAGGTAAAAGCTGTTGCAGATTCACATCCTCTGCAGACCAGACACAGAGCAGCCATGGTTCACATACACTGACAAGCAAGTCTCAGAGGCCTGGTAGACCCATACACCTGGGTCTGGATTAACAAGCAGGATGTGGCCTTGATGAAGTCACATAGCAATCCCGTGCCTCAATTTCCCCCTCTTTAAAATAGGGCAAATAATATTTTCATCAGTCTTATTATATATGTTATGGGAATTAACTGTGTCAAAAAGCTCCTCCACAATGCAACGTGCTAAGTAGCAGCTCAGTGTTATCAAGACACCACCCATGGCAAAATTCTCAATTTGCCTCAGCAGTCGTTTTCCAAAGATCACATTTACCACATGGCCAGCACTTGCATTTTCATAGACGTGCAAATAGGAACAGGACATCCAGGTACATGAGTCAGTGCTTTACTTCTACCTGTCCCCTGTACTGATGACTAGTCCTTGCTTTGGGCCTCTGCA